CCCGCTACGATAGCGGGAACTCCACAGTCAAGACTATCGGCGCGCAGGCGCAGTAGCAACTTCTTCGTTGCGGAACGCTTAGCGGAGGGCGCAGCGCGGTCTACGAAAACTCCCTATTGTGAAACGGAGTATAGGCCTTTACACCGACTTGAGCGGCCGCTGAGTTTTCGTAGACCGCGTTTCCCCCTCCGCTAAGCCCTCCGCTAGGAAGAAACCGCCGCTGCGCCGGCGCGCCGATGGCCTTGGCTGTAAATGGGGAAGCGCGTGAACAGCACGTGGAAGTATTCTCGTTGTGTCCACGGCGAAGTGTCCGAGCGGTGTTGGCGGCTCAGACTTGTGCTCGTTACTTGAAAAATGTAATGGATTACAATTACAAAATAGGGAGTTTTCGTAGATCGTTTTCGCCGTCCCGCAAAGCCCTCCGCAACCCGCTACGATAGCGGGAACTCCACAGTCAAGGCTATCGGCGCGCAGGCGCAGTAGCAACTTCTTCGTTGCGGAACGCTTAGCGGAGGGGGCAGCGCGGTCTACGAAATCTCCCTATTACCGAGCCTCAAATGTAACGGATTACCGTTACAAATTACTTTCGCTGAAAAGTAACGGGTTACTTTACTCGTTACGTTAGAAATTACTTTCCCGTTACTTTTTTCGTACACTTATCCAGAAAACAAAAGAAACAATTTGATATTTTTCAAAAATGTTCTACAACACTACTCTTCGTACAGTCCTTGTAAAAATAAAATATTGTATTTAAGAGAAAGAGTGTGGGTGCACCCCGTTCACCTGTAAGCTGTCAAGGCACCGAAAGCTGCAGCCACACCCGCCATCCTGCTAGCTTACTGCCTCCGGAAATAATCCCTGGAATTGTGCAAAAAAATCTAGCAGTGCGCATGCTCAGTATAGCAGCGTCTACCTCAGCTACGAGATTCGGAGCTATAAAGAGGCGATCTACGAAAGCTCCCTTTTGACGCGCGTATTTCGCCTGTTATTTACAAGAAAAGAAAAAATTGGTTCTAACTTTACAATGTATAAGCAATGCAGAATGCAGGTGTCCCAGTTTACCTTGATGTGTTTCGATTTTGTTGTTGTTCTTGCTTGTGACAGTGTGTGTATTTGCAAGCAAAGTATGCACTGAAACTCTGGGTCTTCCGATAATCTCATTTAGAGATGCATGGCCATGGAGACGACGGACACTCCGTGACCCAAAACTCGATCAGTCAGAGAAAAAGCGGCCGTTACGGGTTATCGATCATTTATCGGTTCTCACTTCCATACCAATATTCGAGGAAGCTAGGGGAGGAGAGGGCATACAGAGCGAGAGAAGCGGTGGCCATCGGTCTCACAAAACTATAAAAATCACACCACTTTTACGCGTTCTCTCTCTCTCTTTCTGTCAGCACTCCTTAGATGGCTTAACCCCCCCCCCCCCTCTCTCCGCCCCCCTTTATGTTGACAGTTGACTGTAAAGTAAGGAGTGGACTCGACCACCATGCCCAGACTAGGGAAAGCACGCATGAAGGCTCCCTAGCCCAGACAAGTAAACCAAAAGTCGTATCTTCCGTACCCTCGAAGACGATGCTCTTAACCTCGCTCCTGGCGCTTTCAGCCGTGCCTCAAGAGGGTGTTAGAATACAGTTGCGCACATCAAAGACGAAGATAATTCGACCCCCTCGTGCGAAGCTACATCGTCTGTTACGCGAGTTGTGAACCCGCGAATCGAGGGGGTACGGACCCGCGTTCGATGTCTGTGCAGGTGGCGGGAGACGTCGAAGAAGTTGGAAAGGGTGAAACGGGTGTAAAAGACAAAAACAAATAAACACGAAGAGCTTTCTCCTGCCCGGGAGAAGAAGAAAAACACGATGGAAGGCGACGGAGAGTCTACTCGGCGTTGTCTTATTTGAGCTTTCTCTTTCGTATATTTTTACATGCCTTGACCATTTTTCTACTAAATCTGGTGACCGGTCAGACAAAAAAAAAAAAAAAAAAGATTTTTTTTTTTGGCTATTCTTTCCTTCCTGGTTTTTTTTTTATTTTGTTAAACTTGCTCCTTTTCCGCTCATTCACACTGGAAGCAGATCCGCGTTCGCAAAGCGGTTGCGAACGCGGTTGTATAAAGATCCAGTACAATTGCACGCGCTTTGCGAACGCGGATCCGCTTCCAGTGTGAATGAGCGGTAAATGCTGCTGAATATTCTGCTCGTATTGCTCCAGTTACTGTATTATGCTCACATTTTTAAAAAGTAACGAATGATTAAAGTAATCCGCTACCAATACTTTGTAACGAAATTACATTACAAATTACTCCCAAAAAAAAGTAGCGTGGAAATTAAAAAAAAAAAAAAAACATGCTTGAAAAAGTAACGGATTACAATTAATTCGTTACTTGTAACGGATTACATTTCAAGTATGGCGGCCATGAAGCTATCGTAGGATTCCATCGTAACTTGCCTACACACAACGTCCGACCGTTTCGCTTGACGTATTCGGGTTTGTTTTTAGGTTTCGTCCTACGCACGTTCTGCGTGGTAGCAAAAACAAAATACACTTAGCGAACAGTTTCTGCTGCGTCGTGCTAAAGCCCAAGCAAAGCAAAGCGGAGAAAATGTATGTTTTCGTCACGTGATGCTCGTTACTACGTCACCATTGAGCGAATCTTAGCGCTCCAATCAATCCCGCTCAAGGCTTGGCAAAAAAAAAAAAAAAAGAAAAAAAAAAGAAAACAACAACAAAAAAAATGTGTTCTTTTTTTTTTTTTTTTAGCAAAAATAAGGTACGCATTGCTGAACGCTCATTTCCGCCCAAATGTAGCGCTAGTGGTCAGAATGCCGAGGTTTGAGAACGAACAGTTAATCATTCAAAAGTCATAAGTGATTTTTTTTTAAAGTTTAATGGGAAATGGCGCTTAACGGAGCTCACCGAAAACAGGCAAAAACGGAGCCCATTTTCCTATTTAAATTTTCAGATATTATGAAACTTTGGCGTTTAGTTCGGACCAGTGGGGCCACATATGAGCGAAAATAAGCGTTTAACAACGCGTACTTTATCACGCAAAAAAAAAAAAAAAAAAGGAAGTGTAAATATTGTTTGGGACACGCTGTGCAATGGTGTCACAAGATACGCACTTTGAGGCAGACGAACTCCCGGGTCTCTAAATATTCATTCAGCAAATTTAACTCGACAGTCATTTGAGGAGAATGGCCTGCTCGCACTGCACTAAACTTTTTTTTTTTTTTTTTATTACGTGCGCCAAGATTTAGCGGCTGCAGGCGAGAAGGGCTAGGGAATGTTCCTTGGGAGCAAATTCATGGGCCTTCATAGAATTATGTACGAAGCGTCATAATACCACTGCGGAGTGCAAGTTCGTCTGCGTCTTGCGCGAGGGTTGCGGGGACGTCAATAAGACGCAGAGTTCTCATTGGCTCTGATTGGAAGGATAGTGGGTAGACCTCAAAGCAGGCAGGCTTGACGTCTGCCCACTACCCAGAACCAATCAGAGCTCGGCGTCTTTCTGACGTCACCACAACCCCTGCAAAAGAAGCAGACGAACTTTCACTCCGCATAGAATACTCTTTGTCGAGAGAGAGAGAGAGAGAGAGAGAGAGAGAGAGAGAGAGAGAGAGAGAGAGGGAACGAACCACGGGGAATATAAGTGATTCCATAACTTCCAAGACTTCATAAACATTTTCGGCGCGCAGAAGTTGATATATTTATGAATTTTTGAAAGAAACTTCTTTTCTAAAAATATAATTTCTGCTCTTAACGAGGATGCTTTTTTTTTTCTCTAAAAGCACGTCTATGGCCGGCTCAGAGTTTGCTGAGAAGTGCGTAGTGCGTGCCGTCGTAGAAATTGCAAGAAAGCAATTTATACGATAAACGCATTCACTGGAGATCAAAGATACGGACCGTATTTCCCTGTCTAGAAAATTCTTGCGGATCGAACGCAACCTTCAAATGAAATATGGCGCGGGCAGAACATAAACGTATCGTAAGACATTACAAAGGATTTGGGATAATGGATTACTCCAGGCATGCAGGTAAACGAGAAAAGTACAACGAAAACAATGAACGCTCACAATAAAAGCTGTCACGATCGAGCACCCCGTATTTCTGAATACACTTTGCGACTGACTAATACCCGTCACCGTTGCTAAATTTGATAGCTAACCTCAACGCCAAAATAAAAATATTAATATTAATAATGCGAAGCGTTTTTTAATTATCGCCATTAATTTAATCATCATCATCACCATCATTGTGCCTTTATTTATGTTATTTATGAGCCCATAAACAAAAAAATTGTCTTTAGCGTGGCACAGTGTCACAAAAATCATTATTCGCTGTTATGCATTTTTTTTGTCGCACTGATGTTTTAGTCGTACTTGACCATGGACACATCCGTGAGTGGTAAGCTCCCCGTGCTTTAGGGAGACTCGGAACTTTAAAATCAGCGGAACACGGCCCATCATTGGCGGTGACAGACCCTAACACTGAAATGCGAAGTCAAACCGTCGGGTGCATGCTTCGGCTGCAAGAAACTGCCTTGGAATGTAGTTGATTGTGTTTTCGTTATATCGAGGGGTGAGTATGCGTGGCCGGTGCAGTACGACTGACAACCCTGGTCATGGTATTGAAACTGGAATGACATTTGAAGTGTCGATAACAATGCAAAGGAAAATTTGGGGGCTTATGTGCCAAGCCAACGAAAGCCATCTGGTACGTCCCTGCTGAGGATTAATTCGGCCAAAACTTCGGTTACACGGTGCCTTCTTCGCAATAGGCTACCGCCAGATGACAGGTGAGCTCAAGATGACTATTTGTAACGCAAGCTATCGCCATGACGCACGATACACTGTCTTCATAAAAAAAAAAGAATAACTTTTTTTTTCAAGCGTAGTTAAAAAAAAAAAATATTCAAGCGCAGGCTAAAAAATATATATATTTTTTTTGCCATCCCGGTTAGTTACGCAGAAGCCATGCTGATCTCGCGCGCTGGTCTGCTTCTACGTTGCAGCAGTAGTTATCAGGGACTTGACACTTATGCTAATGATGACGATCGCTACCACGGGAACAATTCCCCAAGTCTTGAGACGCCGGCGCTTCTTCACCTGGTGCCGAGAGCCCATCGAAACCTGAAGAGGAGCTCGCACTCTTTCAGCGTAGCCCAAGATGGCCTCGCGAGCACCGGGCCACGCGTTCGGCCCTCGCAGCCTGTACTGGTAGTTAAGGAGCGGACTCGTGATTAGAGTCCACCACAGCTTGATATCCGTCAGAAACAGCCAGTAATATTTGGGCTTGGCGCCGATGGCTCGCGCGAGGTCATTCACGTAGGCAACCCGGTCGACCATCAGGTAGTGACGTGGCGTGTCCAGGAACTGTCTCTTGGACAAGTCGTGCACTCTCAAGACCTCGTCTTGCATAACTTTCGTTGATGGAAGGGTCAGTTTTCCCGTCAAAACGCTCGCCATGTACCGAGCCTGCATTTCAAATCCCTGCGAGAGGTTCAGACTGGCGTCGATGTAGCCCAGGAACGCTATGTTAGGGTGCTTCGGGGGAATCATCCTCTTGTACAAGGGTAAGCGTTGACCGCCTGCTGGTAGAATGTCACGCGCGAAAGGGACTTCGTTCGTGTAACCGGTGGAAAACACTACCGCGTCTATTGGTTCTTCGACGCCGTTGAAGACCATGCCGTTTTCGGTGAAGGCCTCCAGGTTCGCGCGCAGTTCAATGCTTCCTGCCAAGAGTTTCAACGGAAGGATGTGGTTCGGGATTCCAGCCTGTTTGATCAAGGGATGAGGAGGCTGGGTGCCTAGAAGTTTGTGGTCGAATTCCTGGTTGCAGATCCTCTGGAAGTGCCGCGAGAAGAAATATGGCGGAAGCCAACTGTAGATCCATAGCCGGAGTTGGTTCAGAATGTAGGCGTCTGTTGGTACGCCTCCTATGTGCTGAGGGTATATCCAGCTCATGCGTCTTGTGACGAGGAGCACCTGTAAGCGAAGCAGAAGATCGAGCTTTATGTTAATATATACTGCGTCATTATGCGTAATAGATGGTTTTCTCCCTTATAACGTCAAGTAATTAGTCAATGTGTGCATCCGCAAGGAACAAGAAAGCGCGGAGTGCATTGTGAACGGCAAAACACCAAAGAATGTAGCAATTTAAAATTCTCCGCGCCTCCCGGCACGGAACACTGCATATCGAACTCGTACGTGAACTTATCTGGGTCTCGTCGCAATTCATTTTATTCCACTCCGTCGTTCGCGATCACTCTCCGTGCGAACCAAGAAATCAAAAGAAAAGGAAATGTTCCAGGCCTGAGGGGTAAGACATTAGGTCACTGAAACACAGTAAAACACGAAGGTGTATGCAGCCGTACTCGTTTTACCCCCAAGAAAAAATACAGTTTTGCTCATTGTTCAAATGCCGCGCGAAGTAGTTGTACAAGATTTGATTGTCCGATGAAGAAGCGATGCTTTTGGCGTTTGAAACGTGTACCTCTTGATAAGATAACATACATATAATCTAAAATGCCACCTGCGTATACCTTAATACTCGTCATAAAAAGGAAAAATAGTAATGTTCCGCGAGGAGCCGGACTTTTTTGACCACGGTTCTTGGGGTGAAAACAAGTATAGTTTGGAAAACGCTTGCCTACCTTCCTACTTATTCACGAAGACGGACTTGTTATTGGGCACACCTTTCCGTCAGAACTAAAGCCTTCAACAGACCGCTAAATTTAGCGAGGAAACTGTGACGTTACGTCGCATGACGCTGAGGCGTCACGTGACACTGACGTCACATGGCACCATGATGTCGTTTCGTGACACCATGACACTGTGATGTCACATGAGACTGTAACATCACGTCGTGTATCCTCCATTGTCTAGTAGTTGTTAAAATTTCAATTTGCGGTTCGCCTTTCTGACTTCGAAAGATGCCCAGCCCATGTCTCCCTCCAATTCCTCATTTGGTGTATTCCCATGTGCCCCCAGCGCTAGTCTGCCCACGCTCCTCTGTCGCATCTCTAAACCTCTACTAGACTTCAGATTCCATGGATAACATCGCGTTGCCAAACGATAAACCCGGCACCATGCCTCCTTCCCATGTTCCCTTAACTACTTCATACCTATGGTAATTCTATGCTGCCTTATGCTCCATAATTGCCTATTTGTTTTCCTTTCTTTACCATACTTTATTGTTCTACTAAGTATTGTATTCCCTCGTTCAGTCATAGTCCCATATACTTATACTTCGCCACATGTTCTATTAACTAGCTTTATAAGTTTGAAAATGAAACCTCTCAGCGAGTAAGTAATCCTCTCATCTAAGGGCGACAGTAGATAACGCACAAGAATTTGTCATATACGCTGTTTTCTTCGGGTTTTAATTCAAATTATATTTTGCTTAGACTACGCTTAGCGTAGGGAACATCGGAAACACGTAATATATAAAATATACACAGAAAAAAAGCGCATTTACACGATCGGTTACTGTGGTCAGGTCAACCGCAACGTCAGCTCCCGAAATCCCAAATCCCACGACTGCCGTCCTCTTGTCCCTGAATCCCTCGTCGGCGTACTTGTACTGTTGCGAGTGCAGGACACGTCCCTTGAACTTTTCGAGACCGGGAAACTTCGGTATCGACGGCGTAGCATGATGCCCCGTGCACACTAGGACGCTGTCGAAGGTCTCTTCAAACTCCCGTCCGCTGTCCAAGTCCAAGACTGTCAGCGTTCCGTCCGTACCCAAGCGGATGACATGGTGCCGATACCGGATTCTGGACGGCACTCCGAAGTGTTCCGCGTAGCTCCTGATGTACCGCAGGGTCTGTCCATGGGTCATGTAGACGGCCATCTCTTTCATTGGCGGGAAGTCGCTGTAGGCGGACATCTCCTTGCTGGTGTTGGTCACGGTGAACCTCATCACGGTGCTTCGTCCGGGCTCTTGCTCGTCGTCGCGGTACCACCATAGTCCGCCGCTGTTGGAAGACCTCTCGAAGCATACCACGTCCAGGTTCTCTTCCAGGCATGCCTTGACGGCCGTGATGCCACAGCAACCCGCTCCTATGACGGCCACGCGCATTTCACGACTCCCGCGTCTTGTGCCCTGGGTGCCCCTAAAAAGACGATTTGAATGGTTCACCGTATCTTGGACGATTGCAAACAATGTCGACGCACTTTCTTGTACCATTGAACGGGCATTTGTTAATCCGCTGCAGCGCTGGTCGTATGCACGATACAAAAGGACACGCGGTGTTCGCTGGAGGCATGATGATAAAATGTTTTGCGGACGTCGTCCCACGCGCATGTTCGAAGAAGTCTAAAGAGTGATTTTGCACGATTAATGCGACGGGGCTGTCACACAAGGAAGATCGACACCCCTCAGGTGCAGTGTCTGCAGCACTGTCTCTTGCAATGATCCGTATTAGCCAACGTTACCAAAACACTCAGTTGGGAAACTCACCCTTGAAACCTGGACCGCAAGTACCCTTGGAGACAAAGCTGGATGAATGGATGGATGAATACGGCTGAGCCCTTTGGATCGGGTGGTAGCTTACGCCACCTAGCCATTTTGTTTTACCATTTAAGCTTAGAATATTTAAATGTGAAATCTATATTCACTCCGCAGTGCAAAGAAAGTGAGGCTATGAAACCCCCTTGCCATCAGTGAATAAGAAAATACCTAGTTTTCTCTCGATTTCTGCCACCGTTCACTTAATCTTTGCTTGGTAATCTCTACAGTCTTGAAATCCACTCTCCCTTCGCTGTCTCTAAAACCCAATGACTTTATTAAATCTATGTTGTCTTCGGTAGGCATAGGGTGAAGCCCTTTACATTAGAGTATCAAGTGCTCAGCTGTCTCGTCCTCCTCTCCACAAGCAGTGCACACTGTATCCATTTCCTGGTACTTCACTCTGTATGTTCTGGTTCGAAGAACGCCCGTCCTCGCCTCAAACAGCAATGAGCTTCCCCTAGAATTGTCATAAATGCTTTCTTTGGCAATAACTGTTTTGTTTAATCTATAGCTTTCCAGAGCCGTCTTTGTCTGCATTCCCTCTAGCCACCGATCTCTTTCTGTGGCCTTAACTTTCTTCTTAACTGAGACTTGCTCTTCCGTATCTTCGCTATAGCCCAAAAACTTTCCTCTTAAGTTCTTAGTGCGCTGTCTTCACTTTGTGTCTACACTCCTCATGTATAAATAGCTGAAAACCTTTCGTGCCCACTGCTCCCCATCCATTTGCCTCAACCTATCCTCAAATTCTATCTTGCTCACCGCTTCCCTGCTCTCAAATGACGCCCATCCCATGTCTCCTCGTACTCCCTGGTTTGGCGTTTTGCAATGTGCCCCCAAAGCCAGTCTACCTACTCCGCGCTGTTTTATTTCTAGTCTCGCATGCGCTTCGGATTTCATGAAAAAGCACTGCGTTTCCAAAAGTCAAGCCAGGCATCATGACCCCCTTTCCAAATCTCTCTCACCACCTCATACCTGTTGTAATTCTAAAGTGCTCTATTTTTCATTACAGCTGTATTGCTGTTGCTCTTACTGCATTTCTGTTGCCTTTATTATTGTTTTTATACAGCCATATCTCACCGGTGACTTCAGGTAGCGCGTCCCGACCTGGATGCGTCCTAATTTCGGTCCTTCTACTGTATACGTTTTAGCGCCAAAACGGCCGATCAAAGTCAACATTCGAAGGTCACAGCGGGCGCTATCGAATGCAATACTCTGAGTCTGGATAATGCGAGATGGCGCCACCGACCATTGCGCGACTCAACATGAATGAATACGTGCACTTTCCGGAGTGGCCGCTGCGGGGGACATGGCGGCGTTGTGATCGCGTTTAGTTTTGTTCTCGACTACTGATCGGAGCCACTTTTTTATTGCAGGCCCCTATGGCAGTTTCCCAACTGAGTGTTCTAGTAACGTTTGTAGTAGCTTTGCGACCGCGGCTTTACAGACGCAGGTTTATAATCCCACTTGCTAAGATCTCAGCTGCTTTGAGCGCACCCGAGTTGTGAGCATGCGGCACGAGACGGGACAACCAGAGCATACTGACAGGATGAGAAGGGTAGGGCGTCTAGCGGCCCTATTGGATGCCCGGCATCCAGCACGCATTCGTTACCTTCCGCCTTACTTTGGCAGCACCTCCCATGGCGAGCAGTGGGTGCGAGCCCACTGCTCGCCATGGGAGTAGTAGGCTCGCCATGGGACAGTGGGCTTGCCATGGGAGCAGTGGGCTCGCACCCATAATGCGAGCCCACGCACCCTAAATGCGAGCAGTGGGTGCGAGCCCACTGCTCGCATTATGGGTGCAATACTCTGAGTGCAATATATATATATATATATATATATATATATATATATATATAAAACTGAGAAGAAAAAAACCCTTAGTGAAAAACAGCAACAACGGACGATTTAATCTTCGACGTTTCGGCCGGAGTCCGGCCTTCGTCAGGAAGAACTTTTACAGATGAACGCGGGTGGTATTTATACAATGCTATGGTCGAGTCCAAATTTCGGAGGGGTGACGGTTGAAGCTTTCGAGAGAGGGAAGCATAGGGCAGTTCTTATCCGGGCGAAGAAGCTTGACGGTCGGTGCCAAGTTTCAAGGACGGCGGGATGACGGTTGTAGCTTCTTGAGAGGGGGCGCAGGGTGACTTTGTGTCCGGGCCGGCAGCGGTGACCTATATAGACGATAGCGTACAATAGACGAAAGTTACACGGGCAAACTAAAGTGCTGTCTCAAAAAAAAAAAAAAAAAAAAAGGCGGCACGGTCACTTGTGTGCATGCAGGCATGCATGAGTCAAACCTGGAAGGGAACAATGTTAAACCTAGAAGTAAAAAGAAATACAATGGATATCAGAACCTGGAAATAAAAGAGAAGTTGATGGTCCAGTTCCGGCCCCAAACACAGTACCACTGTTAACAACAAAATCTACAAAAAAAATGTTTTTGGATTGTTGTTGCTATTCGTTTGTTAGCATTTTAATCGATGCCAGAGTACCGGGGCTTTCATTTATGCCTTGTTTAATAGTGTTAAATCGGTAAATTAGGTAGGATTCACGCTGACACTGACATTCACTGACAATTTATCAAAAGAATGTTTTGGGAGAGCGAGATGTTTGGATAAAGGCAGTGCCGGAAGATTTATGGCGTGAGATTTGTGATTATTAAAGCGCAGTCTAAATGCCGTTCTAGTCTGCCCTATGTATTGCATTTTGCATACCGTACACTCCAATAAGTAAATGACTTTCGACGAGGCACATGTTAAGTTTCCTTTAATTTTGATCGAGAACTGCGAGTGCGTGCTGCTGGCCGTGCTTGTGTGCTGCATCTGTTTACAGATTAGACATCCTGGGTGCCTGCAAGGCCCACATTCGTTAGGTGGTGGCGATGAATTTATCCGAGAGTTTACTAGCGCGTCTTTGAGGTTACGCGATCGTCTGTTGACTACCCCCGGGGCGGATGGAAACGCGCGTTTAAGGCGCTCGCTTTGTTCGAGAATGTTATAATGTCGTCTCAAGACATTATTCACATTAGGATGGTTTATGCTATAAGTTAGACATAGATTTGTGCGTTGTGTGGCGCTTTGCGTGGGGCGCGGGCTGATGAGGTCTGCGCGGTTCAGTTGTTTGGCTTTTCTGATTGCATCGTCGATTCTTTTTTTTTTTTTTTTTTGAGACAGCACTTTAGTTTGCGCGTGTAACTTTCGTCTATTGTACGCTGCCGGCCCGGACACAAAGTCACCCTGCGCCCCCTCTCAAGAAGCTACAACCGTCATCCCGCCGTCCTTGAAACTTGGCACCGACCGTCAAGCTTCTTCGCCCGGATAAGAACTGCCCTATGCTTCCCTCTCTCGAAAGCTTCAACCGTCACCCCTCCGAAATTTGGACTCGACCATAGCATTGTATAAATACCACCCGCGTTCATCTGTAAAAGTTCTTCCTGACGAAGGCCGGACTCCGGCCGAAACGTCGAAGATTAAATCGTCCGTTGTTGCTGTTTTTCACTAAGGGTTTTTTTCTTCTCAGTTTTATACCCACGCCTTCGGCCTCCCGCCACCATGCCCGTTATATATATATATATATATATATACGAGTTCAGCTATAGATGGGCTGTCTATCTGGGCAGCCTCGAGCGCGAAGATAGGCATCAACAAATGCAACAATAAACGTGCAAGATTCCTTTTCGTGCACTAAACATCTATTGACACGAGGTGTTTGTGAGAATTTTTTACCTTCGTCCGACGGCGATGCCAAATGCTCGGCCGTTTCGGTAATCCGTGGGTCTCGCCTAGAGGGCGATGGCGTCTACGTGACCTTGAGTGTTGGTGCGATAATAGTGGACAAAGAAAGAAAGGCTGGTCGGATTTGTTGCTTATCAGTGAGTTAGGCAGGAACACACTTGGCACTCCTCGAGGTCCTTAGGTCTCCAAACTCTACCAGGCTATTTCGAGCGTGAAGATATCAGCACCTGCCACAGTGTTTGAGGCACAGCAGATAATTCGCGTGTTGTGATGGGTGATAATACTAAAACAAAGGCGCTAAGCGATTTGAGCGATTACGCTGTGTTTGCAGTCAATATTTTCCCAGATTTTCTGGTGTTGTGCATGCTTTTAGAAATCCAAACGCTGACATTGAATGCTGTTGTAGCTTAGGTAGCCTAAACATTCGCTTCTTCATTTAACATTTTTTTTTTTTTAAATTTCGGAGTTTATTTGATTAAGGGGGTAATCTGTGTGGTGCTTACAGCGCACGTGATCACAAGAAAGCTGCGTAGTACCATTCAAAGCCTAACCAGAAAACGTTTCAGAGCTAATAACAAAAAAAAAAAAAAAATGTAAATGTTGGACTGACGTGATGTGATCTGCTCAGTTAGTGGTCTACCTGCTAGTAAGTATTTAACGTTATAATTTTACACGATCGAACTTGTAGTGTCCTGGGTTACCAATGCAGCGTCTTGGGTTGCTCCAGACCAAATTCGGAAGTTAAACTGGTCTGGAACGGTTGGTAAGAACACTATTTTTTTATTTAGTTAACTGATTGTTACTTGGCCAAATTTAGAACAACGACGAAAACGCGATGTCGGC